TTTATCTGATATTAGTCGGTTATTATAATTATTACCAAACTCAGCTCAAACCAAAAGAATCGAACCGGACGCAAATCAATTTATATAGATAACAGAACAGATCTTATATCTGTAGAATTAAAAAAACTACGAACATAAAGAATCCAACAAAAGTTGAACCCAAAATCAAACCCCAGTCCTATTACATTCAATACGATCATAGTTTTTGAAATACGGTAATAACCGATGGCGATGACTTATGAATATATTATACTTTTCTAAATTAAGTTGAACCCGCGCCGGTGCGCGGGTCAAGATCTAGTTTATATTATAAGGTAAGTATATTCTAACAGTTTGGTGCATCTTCGCTTCAAAATGCTCGAACATTTTTCTCGTTATGCCCCACATCCTTAGCTTATCGTTTGAACCTGTTATGAATTGGACATGAGGATATAATGATCACATGTATATGCCTAGTGCATATCTGGATATTTTAGAATTAGCTATTGACGATCAGGAATGATGTGGAAATCACCGTTAGAGTGTCTGGATATGACAATATTTGTTGCTAACCGTGGAATTGAAATGGTCGTTGCCATTTAAAATTGATCTTGACAAGAAATATCATTAAGTGCTATATTTGAGACAAATTATTCGCTTCAAGTTATTCTGTAGTATATTAATGTTAATGACTGTCTTGAGCCACATAATTCATACCGTAAAGAAGACTTTAGACGTGCTATCCATTACGTTTTAACAGTTTCAGTGATTTGACCTTATGACAAATCTTTTCTTCTCAATTTTTTTTTAGAAACTTGGCACAACCCTCTTAAAAATATAGAAGTCCCATGAAGACTCTTTATTTACCAAGGGAAAAGTTACATACAATAAAGATTCCGAGAAAAACAACAACTCTTTCTGTTGTTTCCAAATGATTCAACGAGCGCTCCTGGGAACCATCTGGATGATATATTATTGTGTTTGCCCGTCATTCCAAAAAGAGACGACGACCTTCGTCTACAACGGCTTCGACCAAGGAGACCATCGTATTCACCTTGATGGTATTGCAAGAATCCTTCCCAAAAAAGATGTCCTGCAGCTGACGAATGCAACCACAATGCAAATGGGTCGTGCTTTTTTCAAGCAGCCTATTGTCTTCAAACCATCTGAACCAGTCTCGTTCTCAACACATTTTGTGTGCGCCCTTGTCCGTGTAGGTGAGGTTGGTGGCCACGGCATGGCGTTTTTTGTGTCTCACTCCACTGATTTTAAAGGCGCCCAACCAACTCGGTACTTCGGGCTTTTCAACCCAAATGGATCTTCTTCCACACACGTGTTGGCTGTTGAGCTTGATATAACTAAAACTCTAGATGTGCTCGACATCAATGATAATCATGTTGGGATTGATGTGAACAGCCCAAAGTCATTGATATCTACTAGAGCTTCTTATTTCTCCGACAAAGAAGGTCGAAAGATTGACGTGAAACTCTTGAGTGGCGATCCTATCCAGGTTTGGGTGGATTATGAAGGAACAACACTCAACGTTTCATTGGCTCCTCTTGGTAACCAGAAACCAAGCCGGCCTCTTTTGTCATCAACATCCATCAATCTTACCGAGATTGTGCAAGGTAGAAGAATGTTTGTAGGTTTTTCTGGATCAACAGGGTCAAGCGTGGTCAACCAGTACATACTTGGGTGGAGTTTTAGCAAACGCATGGCGTCGCTGCAGAAGATTGACATCTCAAAACTTCCCAAAGCTCCTCACCCTAGCAATAAAAATAAGTTTATATATCTGGTACTTGATACTCTGATGGGTTTATTAGCTTTCTTTGTTTTGGGACTTCTTTTTGGAGCTTATATGTATAGGAGAAATTTGTACGCTGAAGTAAGAGAGGAATGGGAAAATGTGTATGGTCCACTCAGGTATTCCTACAAATCCCTATACAAAGCAACAAAAGGGTTTAGCAAAAATGAATTTCTTGGGAGAGGAGGTTTCGGTGAAGTCTACAAAGGAACACTCCCACGGAGCATAGAGATGAGAGAAGTGGCTGTGAAGAAAGTAGCACATGAAGGTGAACAAGGCATGAAGCAATTTGTGGCTGAGATCGTGTGCATGAAGAGTTTAAAACACCGGAGCTTAGTTCCACTTCTTGGGTATTGCAGGAGGAAACATGAGTTATTACTGGTTTCTGAGTACATGCCAAATGGTAGCCTTGATGCTTACTTGTTTAATCATGATAGACCGACTCTCCCCTGGTGGAGAAGATTTTCCATTATCAAAGACATCTCGTTAGCTCTTAGTTACTTACATACAGAAGCTGATCAAGTTGTTATACATAGAGATATCAAAGCTTCTAATGTTATGTTGGACGCGGAGTTTAACGGAAGGTTAGGAGACTTTGGAATGTCCAGGTTATATGAAAGAGGAGCTGATCCAACCACAACAGCTGCAGTTGGAACTGTTGGTTACATGGCACCTGAGCTTACAACATTGGGAGCTTCCACTGGTACTGATGTATATGCCTTTGGTGTTTTCCTTCTTGAAGTAACTTGTGGGAGGAGACCTGTGGAGCCTGACTTCTCCGCTGCAAAACGTTTTCTGATAAAATGGGTTTGTGATTGCTGGACAAAATCTTCTTTGATTGATGCTATTGATCCAAGGTTGACAGAATTCTCATCCGAAGAAGTCGACAGAGTTCTAAAAGTCGGTTTGCTCTGTGCAAACCTTGCTCCAGATGGAAGACCGTCCATGGAACAAGTGGTGCAATACTTAAATGGAAACCTAGCGTTGCCCGAGGTTTCGCCATATTCTCCAGGAATCGGAGTTCTCACTCCATCGGTGTCTTGCTCATCCAACAACTCTATGTTTATTACTCACACAGTCCTCTACGGTACTGGACGATGAAAGTTTTAGTAATTTCGTTGATGGAAAATCTGCTTATCATCTACCACCAAATTGTCTTATACACAATTTATAATACTCAGAAATTGTTTTGGTACCAATTTGAAACACTCCCCCCACATACTTTTAAGGGAAAAAGTTCCTCAACTACACGAAGTTTACACTAATATGGTGGAAACCATCCAATGTATATAAATGTGTCAAGAACTACACGAAGTATATGTTAATACATGCCACATGTACGAAGTAAATGATATTATGGTGGCAACATCACAATCGGATTTAATTGTTCTTAAGCTAAGTTAATGGGGTCAATCCGTAATTTATAAAACTTAATAAACTTAATTGATTTTAATTTTTAAAGTTAATAAAATTAATAAACTTAATAAACTTAATATTTTTTTGTTAAACTTAATAAATTTATTAAACTTAATAAAATTATTAAACTTCATAAACTTAATAAACTTAAAAAACTTAATAAGTGATTAAACTTAATATACTTAAAAAACTTAATAAACTTAATGATTTATTAAGTTTAATACATCTTATTAAGTTTAAGAAATCTTATTGAGTTTATAAAGTTTATTAAGTTTTTAAAAATTATTATGTTTAATAAGCTAGAATCCTAAAACTAATAAACCTAATAATTTAGTAAATTTATTAAACTTAATAAATTTATTAAATTATTTTGTTTATTAAGTTTATTAAGTATATTAAGTTTATTAATTTTATTAACTTTAATAATTAAAATCAATTAAGTTTATTAAGTTTCATAAATTACGGATTGACCTCATTAACTTGGCTTAAGAACAATTAAATCCGATTGTGATGTTGCCACCATAATATCATTTACTTCGTACATGTAGCATGTATTAACATATACTTCGTGTAGTTCTTGACACATTTATATACATTGGATGGTTTCCACCATATTAGTGTAAACTTCGTGTAGTTGAGAAACTTTTTTCCTAATTTTAAAGATAAAAGTTTAAAATCTACATATACTATTACCTATGTATACTATTATTTTGTGAATTGATTTTTCGCATTCAAACTCTCATGTTAAAAGGGTAGAGTAGTTAATATCTTTATTATATTTACCGAATAAATAAATTTATTTAATAGATTAGTAACTAAAATTATTAATATAATAAAAACTAGTCAAAAAAATAAAGATGAATTAATGTATTTGATTAGGTCGTGATTAAAATTTAATATAATAAAATAATTTCCATATATTAAAAATATTTTAAAATAAAAAAATAATTCCTATGTATATATTATTTTGTTATCTGAAAAATATCTTTCAATAAAAAAAGTTAAAAATTCAAAAATAGAAAAATTAATAACTAAATATTAATCAAGAAAAATCTTAATTTTATATAATTCAAAAAAATATTATTAATAATGAATATAGTGTATAAAGAAAATTTTCAAAATATATATAGTACATGAGAATTTTCAAATAAAAACATAAATAATAATTTATGCTGCCGGTTAAACACCTAGGTTTAAGTAAATCAAGTAAACTTTCATCAAGTAAATATAATAAAAATGATGCAACTTTATTAATAAACCAAATTTTAATAATTTTAGACAATAAACCTATGTTTATAATACTCTCATAAAATATTCTACGTTCATAATACGAGTCTCAATAGTTTTTAATGTCATGCGTTTTTATTCACATAACAATTTCCACCTACATCACAAAAAGAGACATCATTAATATACAATTTGACTCGGTGAAATTGTTTAAAACCACCCAGTTGCAACTCAATAATCAATACAATTCAAGTTCACATCGTTATAAAACCTAGCATTGTCTTATTTACCATTTTCTTACTTAGCCATTTCTTACTACTCAATCATTTTTTAATAAATTTCCATTTTCACACTTACTAACTCTAGACCAACACGACCCGCATGTCAACATGATATATACACCAACACAATTAATTCAAGGAAAAATTGGAAATTTAGGACACTTTGAACTTAGATTTGTCCCTCTAGGATTTTTATAAATATGTTTGGGAAAATAAGATTTTAATTCCTGTAAATACTATTATACCCTTAAAATTGATCAAATTTAATTGTTTTAAAAATATTAAATTATTATTTTCGTATTAAATTTAATACTCAAGTAAATATTAAAAAAAGGAAAAAACCCCTACATCCTTTTCACCTCTTTCTCCTCCGCCGTCGACCTTCTTCCCTCTCCCATAGCGATTTTTCGGTCTTCTCCATCCATCCTTCTCCTTCTCTTCTAAATCAAGTCATCTTCAACTACCCATCTCTTCTCTAAATCCATCTCTTCTATCCATCTCTTCTTCCTCACCACCGATTTTCGTCGGGCCAATTCCAAATCAAAAGGTTCTTCCAGCAATTTCGTTAATAACTCACAGTTCTTAACACTAGGTATTGTGTTTAACCATGAATTATCTTATGCCTTAACTTTTCCCTTATCTTAAACCGTGATTTTTTTTTCAAATCGATTGGTCATGATATATGATACTAGTTGTTGTCCGATTGTGTATGTTTGCATGTAGATTAGTTGTTACTAGTTGTTGTCCGAGTGTGAATGTTTGCATATAACAAATCGATTGGTCATGAAATTCGGGTCTTGAAATCTGATAGTAGTTGTTGTTTGATCGTGTAAAAGGAACGCATAGTCTTTTTCTAAAATGTTGTTTCTGTTGTAACCAATGAACCGTATTACGCTTACACAAACCTTTGAATTGTTTTCGCGTTTATATGTCGTATCTGCTGGACAGAGGTTAAGTCGAAATGTATAATGCTTTCGTAAGAAGTTGGAGACTTTGAAATGTATTACGCTAACACAAACCTTGCAGACTTGTAGTGGCTAAATCTTACAAAAGCGTAAGCTCATCCTCTATGCACAAAGCATAGAGATGTCTCTTATGGGACACTCTGGAGCTAATGATATAATTCATAGTTTCAATCGCACACATGGTTACAAGAAGTGGTAGGAACTAAGCCACGTGAAGCATGTCCTTTTCAAGTTTTGCTAACCTGCCACGTGCGCTTAAGCTGTCTCTTTTTCACTTTCTTATCATCCTTTAATATAAGAAAAAGACAGAGAACCAAGCCGGGTGGGACCTGTGGTCCTGTGGTCTGCATGATTGATCTATTTTTTTCTTCTCGAATTTTGTTTTCACCTGTCTATTTTTTAGTTGTTTTCCGATTGTAATGTAGTTCAATTATGTTTGAAATCAATGAGTTCTTGTTTGATCTTGCTACTAACTATTTTTTCATGGATAGTAGGCATGGCTGAGGAGTTACCAAAGAGAATTTTTAAAGAGGGCGAGGAGACCCAAGTGACTCAGATAAATAACAACTGCAGGATCGACTACATTCTGAAAAAGTTTGAAGCGTGGTTGCCAAGGGAGTTGGATGTTCTGAAGAAAGATCCAACTTTTTATCAGATTTTCAAGCTACAAGAGAATGGTCTTGGATACTCTGCGAGAGTGATACACAGCATGTTGTGTAGGGAGCTTGTGACTTACAAACATCACGAGCTTTGGTTTGCCTTTGCGAGGAGACCACTTCGATTTTCACTTCAAGAGTTCCACGCAGTAACCGGGTTTGAGTGCAATACTGGTATCCCACTTGAGGAGTTTGACGAATGGGAAGATGATGACGGTTTCTGGAGCAGGGTGTTGAAGAGAAAAGATGGGGAATAGACACTGTTCAAGCTGTGGAATAACCACAAGTCAGCGATTAAGAAGTGGAAAAAAGCATATCGCATTCGACTGATCTACCTGTCCTTCATTCTTTGTGTGGTTTTAGCGAGAGATGAGAAAGCTAGTATCCCCCTCAAATGGGTAAAGGTGGTCATGGATCTTGAGAAGGTTCGAAAGTATCCTTGGGGAGTTGCTGCTTATGATCTTCTCTGCGAATCAATAGCTAAGAATCGTGACAAGCTGAAGGATAAAACTACTAGTTATGTGTTAGATGGTTTCTCCTACGCCTTGCAGATTTGGGCAATGGAAGTTGTACCAAAGCTTGGGAAGCTTTGTGGAAAGAAACTGAACAAAGATTTTAAGGACGGTCCTATGTGCATAAAGTAGAGGGGTGCTGCAAAGGTGTCATATGAGGAGATCAACCGCCTAGAGAACATATTTACTGCTGAGGTAATTTTCAATTCTTAAGATTAATAATCCGATTTAAAATTATTTTTGAGGTTCTAACTTTTTTTACCTTTCTTGTGTAGGATGTCACCTATCCATACATATCATACAGAGGGAATATGGTTGTAGTCGCGAGTTGTTTTCACAGAGAAGATGTGAATGATGATAGAGTCAAGGAGCTGATGGAGTTGATAAGGACTAAGCATGACTTCAGTGACCATGTTTGGGCTTTCGAAGAAACTGCAGAGGTTTCTCTGGATCTGGATGATGAAGCAGCTGTGAATGCTGGAGCAGCAGAGAGTGATGAAGACTTTCACATTCCAAATGGATCAACTAGTGTAGGCGTTTCATCAAAAAAGAGTAAGAAGAGGCTCCCAGATCGTGGTATGGAAAAAAGGAAACATAAGGTTCTATCTACTGAACCTAAGCAACCGGTTCTTAATGATGACATGAAGGCTTGGGTGAAAGAGTTATTTGAGCAGAATTTCAATGCAATGGAACTTAGGCTACATAAACAGATGGATGAGAAATTTGAGACACTGCAGTCCGAGCTCAAAGGATCGCGCAAGGATGCTAGAGTTGAGCTCAAATATTCCGGGAACGATGGACAGCCTACACCGACGAAGCCATCGACGAGCCAGCCAGAGTTGAGGAGGTCCACTCGCGGGGTAAAGAAACACTAGTCTTCTATCTTTGTGTGTCTGTTTGTGTTATTGTCATGCATCTATGATATCGGCCTGCCTTTTGTTGTGTGTTTATAAGGTCTTTGTGTGTACTTGTCATTGGTTTGTATGTGTCTTGTTTTAAACTTATGTATGGTTGTGAACTTTGCTAAGATATTTCAGTAATGACTAGACATCTTGCAGTGTGAAATTTTGATTGTATTTTCACAAATTTTCTTGTGCTTAATATTATGCTTTTAATTGATCATTTAGTTTCCCATTACATGAAACGTCTCATAGTCCAGCCGATGGGAATTTCAGTGAAGCAGATGATATCTTCCGAGAGATGGGTACACAAGGCGTTAAAAGGCTGTCTCAGCCCTCGTATGTGCAGGGGTTTGATCCATCTCAGACCTCTAAGGAAGATGACTGGTGGACTCCGATGACTTCAGTCAGAGGTTCAAAAGCTAAACAAAGCAAAGGTAGTACAGCTCCACCTCCGTCGCAATGGAAGAAATGGAAAGGCAAAGGCAGTACACCCCAGCTTCTCGATAACCTATTGCCCGGCGGTTCTCCGCAGTCGTCACTTTGTTATTTGTCCGAAGAATCATGGACATGATTCATGGAATGGTGTATGAACCCAATAGCTGTAAAGATTGGTCCTTCATTCTTCAATTTGGCTGTAGCTACAAGGATAATATGTTCTCCAGAATGGCTTGGCAATGAGGTAATGATTTCTTATACTAGTGTATTTGTGGTGAATATACCTTTGTAACACATCTTTGATGCCTCAATGGTGTTATGTCCTCGTGAACATTCAGGAAATGAATTCAATTATGTTTATATGGCGAGTGAACACATCTTTCAAGCGTTGGACCCCAACCCATGTTGCTTTCATGCCCTCCATCTTCTGCCTCCAAATGGACACTGAATTCAACAAGTTTGTCCCGAACAAAAAAACTTATGAATTGCATGAGTTTCTTATTTCTTACGGTAGAGGAGAGCTTCCAGCTCATGGGCGGACTGATCAAGTCTGGGGTGTCGATGTTGATCGTCTCTATTTTCCTCAGTTTGTAAATGGTAATTGCCGGTTCCTCTTCATGTCTCAAAATTTGTTTCTTCACTTACCAATTTAGTATAAATCCAACGCAGTTAATCACTGGATTGCTGTCTGCATCAACATCATTGAGAGAAAAGTGGAAGTCTTTGATTGCAATAGAGGAAGGAATAGGCAATACGTTGAGAAGTTTGCGGCTTTGATTCCGCGGATAGTGAAGGCCGTTGCACCACCCGAAAGCAAGAAGCAGCTACTCGTATCACCATATTCTATAGTAGATGTACCGATGAAGGCGAGGTTGAACAAGAGTTGTGCTGATTGCGGAGCATACGCACTTAAACACTTGCAATGCCATCTCCTTGGTCTCGACCTCGGTTTAGTAAATGACGAAATCATCCAGGGCTGCAGACAGAAGATTGCTGTGGACTTATGGGAGACAACATTTTCTTAATTTGCTCAATTCTCATATTATTTTTAAACACATTTGATTTAACGTATTTGAGAAATAAAATAACATTTTCACCATAAACACATTAGCTTAAACACATCATTTTTCAAAATAATCTACCATACAAATCCTACAAACACATAGATGCTTTTGGGAACAAAACACTTTCCATAATACTTAACTTTATGCCACTTAATCCTAGATTTGGACATTCAGACCGGTTCGTCTCGAGTGTTGATCATTATCAATTTTCTATAATTACTTAATTCATTTGAATTTTTCATAAATACGTAATTCATTTGAAATTTAACTTATTTTGGTACACCATATCTCCCAACTTGGAATTTAACTTCTTCTTTTTATTAAGGTACCTTTTTTTTATCTTGGATTTCCTCCATTATATCTTCTCTTAATCATTTTCAACAGAAAATTTCATTCCTCCTCGCCTTTAATCATTTATAATGGGTTCAACAAGACCACTTAGATAGCTGAGTTACCATTGCCATGTAAGTAAAATTTCCAGTGACAAATTTTTCTTCCTTTAACATCATGACATCTGAGTCCATTCTTCTATAGATTTGTGCATAACCACCCCTAGCTAAGTTACTTATCTTTCGCCACTCTTTATCAACCGCAAAACTTTACTTATAACATGTTGTTCACCAATATTTCACATCATTATTAACCAAGCTAGTCAATGGTTACACTAACTTTCGGAGCTATTTACGAACCACCCTTAATACTCACTAGTCTGAAGAATTTTCTGCTCTTCATCTTTGGCCAATTGCATTGGTCGTGACCTCATCTGGGTATGCTGTAAATCCTTCCTCATACACCATATTACCCAATAACCTAATTCACCTTTTTTCAAAATTTCACTGATTAAACTTGATGAAACGTTATGCCCTCTTAGCCTTTCTATGATCTTTGAATTTATGTCCAGCATCACTCCTTGCTCCAATTGTTCAACTGCAGCGGTATTAAGAATACTTCACACTTGTTCTTAACCATCCACACCTTTCTTACTGCTGAAACTACTTGAATATTGAACTTCTTTGTCTTTTCTTGAAATATTAGTTTTCCTTCGTACCAACTCTTATAGCAATAATTACTACTTCACCTTTTCGGATAACACATTCATCACATTTCATCACACATGAGCTTTTTAGTTCATTTTTACTATAGCCATGTAATGCATTCAAAGAAATTTCTTACGAACAATTATATATATATGTGTGTGTGTGTGTGTGTGTGTGTGTGTGTGTGTTAATACCCGCAGATATATTGTTACAATATATTATTTATTTGGAATTAGGTTGCTGCAGCACTTGGGTTTGATAGTGATGAGATGTTTGAAAATAAGAATGATCTTAATGTAATTGTTTATTTAATAGTAACTATGTCTTACATATATGGATGGTTGTTAATGATTTAGTCAGATGTGAACAAATTTGTATTTTAACATGCATACACATGGATATAGTTGTGTGTACGTGCGGATATGATCCTATGTGTATACATGGCTATGGTATGGACATCATGTCACAAACGAGAAGGTTTCTTATATGTAAGATATGATAAAATCCAACCATGTGTTCAAGAAATTAGAATGATGTAGAGGTAATGTTGATAATCCATTTTGTTTTTGTTGTATATTTTATGTTGAAGCAAAGGCGGGGTAATGGTGGGTATCAAAAAAGCGTTTGACGGAACTGAGGGGCATTAGAAAAAGTGGTATGAAAAAGCAAAGAATGATCATTAGATAATTAAATGAATCTGATGTTGTATTTTTAGTGGTTCCTCTTGAGGATGATGAATTAAGAAGTCCAGAAATTAAACAACAAAACTATCTATCTACTAAGAAATAGGGAAAATGCGTTAAGAATGTGAAATATGTTAAAAATATAAGTAGATTCGGGATTTTTTATACAAATGGATATTGGATGTATTTGGACATACATTTGAACATGCATACACATTGATATTATTGTGTATACGTATGGATATGATCCCATGTGTATACATGACTATGGTATGAACATCATGTCACAAACGAGAAGGTTTATTATACGCAAGATATAATAAAATCAAACCATGTGTTCAAGAAATTAGAATGATGTTGAGGTGATGTTGATAATCCATTTTGTTTTTGTTGTATATTTTATGTTGAAGCAAAGGCGGGATAATGGTGGGTATGAAAAAAGCGTTTGATGGAACTGAGGGACATCAGAAAAAGTGGTAAGAAAAAGCAAAGAAGGATCATTGGATAATTAAATGAATCTGATGTTGTATTTTTAGTGGTTCCTCTTGAGGATGATGAATTAAGAAGTCCAGAAATTAAACAAAAAAACTATCTATCTATTAAGAAATAGGGAAAAATGCGTTAAGAATGTGAAATATGTTAAAAATGTAAGTAGATTCTGGATGTTTTTATACATATGGATATTGAATGTATTTGGACATACATTTGAACATGCATACACATGGATATTATTGTATATACGTGTGGATATGATCCTATGTGTATACATGGCTATGGTATGAACATCATGTCACAAACGAGAAGGTTTTTTATATGTAAGATATAATAAAATCAAACCATGTGCATAAGAAATTAGAATAATGTAGAGGTAATGTTGATAATCCATTTTGTTGTATATTTTATGTTGAAGCAAAGGCGGGGCAATGGTGGGTATGAAAAAAGCGTTTAATGAAACTAAAGGACATTAGAAAAAGTGGTATTGAAAAGAAAAGGAGGATCATTGAATAATTAAATAAATCTGATGTTGTAAATTTAGTGGTTTCTCTTGAGGATGATGAATTAAGAAGTCAAGAAATTAAACAACATAGCTATCTATCTTCTAAAAAAATAGCGAAAATTCATTAAGAATGTGAAATATGTTAAAATTGTAAGACATTATGTAAGTAGATTCTGGATTATACATATGGATATTGAATGTATTTGTACATACATTTGGAAAATATATTTGTAAATAAGTTTATTGTTAAAAAAGACTAAACCTGTTACCAAAAGTAATAATCTTCACATCAAGAGATTCGTTCACTTTATTATATTTGTAGTATCATATAGCACCAAATATTTCCGAAACTATTGCCTCGTTCTATTTCTCCCTGAATAAAAAATTCGAATCATATTTCCACACCAACTCGAATGAAAAATTTGTATGTTCCCGAATACAAAATTCAAATCTTAATTCTCCATATGGTTGGTTAGACATTGGGTTACTGTTCGTAACTGAATTAGTTTACCATAATATGCCAGATTAAACCAATGTCTGGTAGAATTACGCTAATAAACCGAAATTATATCCTATTAAGATCTGATTAGTTAAATAAACCCGACCAAATCTCCCAATCTCTTTCTTTAACAAACCGTAACCCTAAATCAAAATAATCAGAGAGAACAGAGAAAGAATTCATCGATAAAGAGAGAGCGTTGAAGTCGAAGGTTTTCCATGGCGAATGAAAACGGTGAGGACTTTGATGAAGAAACATCTGAGAAATAAGAAAACGAGACTGAGCAGGTACTGGAAGAATTCATCAACGAGCCTCCTGTATGCCAGGACGAGTGTCCCTCGAGTGAGGATGAGGGTGAGAAATAGGAAGATGAACCTTGTAGGAAGGCGAAGAAGGTGGTCGTGGTCCCTGTGAAACGCGGTGCTGAAAGACTTTACAAGGGGCAACGTTTCTTGAATGGTGTGGTTTTCAAGGACTTTGTGCTCGCTTATGCTCTGTGAACAGGCCGGAATATCAAGCAGTACAGGTATGATAATGATAAGATTGAATTCATATGTGTTAGTGGTGAAGGATGTGAATGGAAAGTGTATGCGTCCACTCTTCCCAAGGATAATGTCTGGGAGATTAGAGTCTTCAGAGAGGAGCATTTATGTATTCCAAATGGTGAATGTGAGATGTTAAAAGTTCCTCAAATTCCAAGGCTTTTTCTTGATAAGATTAGAGAGGAACCATAATACTATATGCCCATGAAGATTGAAGAATTGGTTCATGAAAAATGGGGGTTTACGGTATCTAAGTCTTAGTGTCAGGCTGCAAGAAACAAGACACTAAGGTGAATTGACTTCGAGAATGATCGTATTTCCCCGACTAAGAGATTATGCTGCTGAGTTTCTGGAATCAAACCAAGATTCGATTGTGGAGATTGAGACTGAGACTGATATGATTGGTGAGAAAGTGATCGAAGAGTTCCACATGATATTTATTTGCTTTGATAACATCAGAAAGACATGTAAACGGTCATGTAGGCAACTAATAGGAGTCGATGGATGCTTTTTAAAGCACAAAGTCAAGGGACAGCTTCTTGTTGAATTAGGAAGAGACACGGATAATGCTATATATCCAATAGCATGGGGATGCTGTTCAAGTGGAAAACACAGAAAACAGGCTGTGGTTTGTGAGAAAGATCAAAGATGTTGGGATTGAATCAGGGGCTTGGTTACATACTGGTGTCAGATCGACAAAAGGTGTGTGGTTAGTCTTTATGTGCTTTTGGTTGTTTGTTAAGGATGAGTTTTAATGTTTCTGTTTTTTTTTAGGGATTGATCAGTGCTATTCAGGCTGGGTTACCACAGATTGAACATAGAATGTGTGTATGCCTCTATGGTAATCTGAAGAAGAATCATGCTAGTAGAAAGGAGATGAAGTCACTGATATGACATTTGGCATGGAGCTACAACGAGGCTGAGTTCCAACAACGTTTAGATAGGATTCTCTGCTATGATGCTGGTGTGTATGATGATGGTCAGAAAAGTAAACATAGGACATGGTGTAGAGTCTTCTACAAGCTGGGTAACTAATGTGAAGATGTAAAAAATAATTCTACAGAGTCTTTCAACAACATAATCTCTAAGGCTATGGAGTTTTCTTTCGTGCTAATACTAGAGGGAATTCGTAGATTAGCAATGGCTCGTATTGTTAAGAGATCAGTTATCTATCATGCCCACAAAGGTATATTACTCTTTCTC